TGGTGTGCATCGAATTCAGCTGAAACCGAATGCGAAACCGGTCGCCACTGGTCAACCTCGACCCATTCCGCTAGCGACACGTGAAGCGGTCTTAGCAAGCTTGCAAGCAATGCTAGCAAATAATTTGATTGAACCCATCTACTGCTCTGAGTGGGTGTATCCAATGGTTATTGTCATGAAAAAGACGGTACTGTCCGGATATGCAACGATTTGCAGGCTCTGAACAAACAGATCGTCGTAGAGGGTTCTGTCTGCCATCTAATGATGAACTCAATGTACGTTTAGCCGGTGCAACTGCTTTTCCAAGCTAGGTTTGAAAAGTGCAGTTTTTCATAGGTCATTGGCCGATGGTTCCAAACACCTAACTGCCTTCTTGCTCCTGATGGCCTATTTCAGTACAAATTCGTACCCATGGGTTTGAGTTCCGCGCCCGCCGCCTCGCAAAAGTTCATGGCTCACGCCCTAGCAGGTATCGATGGGCAGGTTGCCAACAGGGATGATATTTGTGTTTTCGGCCGCTCACAGGAAGAACAGGCTGAAAGGCCACACGAAGTCGTCCAGCGCATCAGTGATCTCAATTTGCGTCTGAACGCAGAAAAATGTCTCTTCAATGCACCAGAAATTCAGTTTTTGGACACGTCATTTCACGCAGTGGCATTCGACCAAGTGCTGAAAACATAAGGGCCATCTCTGAAGCGCCAACACCCAAAAACTTGACAGAACTAAAGTCCATTTTAGGAATGTGCTCTTATAACCTGCGCTACCTGCCTGATTTTGCGACCGTGGCAGATTCATTACGACAGCTAACAAAGAAAGCATCGCCGTTCGTTTGGGACAGCAATCATAAAAATGCCTCTGATGAACTGAAAAGGAGAGTTGCGTCTGCTCCCTTAGTTGCCATTTTTGACGAATCTTGCCGCAACTTTGTGTCTACTGATGCGTCTGATGTCGGTCTCGGAGCTGTCCTCTCACAAATACAAAACGGAGAGTAGAAAGTTATTGCGTATGCATCACGAAAGCTATCAGATTCCGAAGGTCATTATTCAGTTGGGGAAAAAGAAGCCTTTGCATGTGTGTGGGCCTGTGAAACGTGGCATTTATTTCTGTTCGGTCGTCGTTTTATTCTGCGTACTGAGCATTCATCCCTAACAGCTCTTCTCAGCAATTGACCTAAAGCATCTCGCCCAATGCGAATCGATCGCTGGTATGCCAGGCTCCTTAACTACGATTTTAAAATTGGGTACCGGCTAGGTTTGAAAAATCAGGTTGCTGACGGCCTATCTCACTTACCCGTGGGGTTGGAAGTTGAAAAAGAGAGACTCGGAGAGGCGGTACTAGTTTCCAGTCTCGGAGCTTACCTGTCTGCCTTGACGACCGAGGAACTGCGAAGGGAAAATGCTAACCATCCTTTACTGCATGAGATCATTGAATATGTGCAACAAGGCTGGCCCAAGAATAATAAAATCTCCGGAGAGTTCATTCCGTATTATGCAATTCGACATGAACAATCAGTGCTAGATGGTTGCCTGATGCGCGGTTCGATGTTTGTAGCTCCGCCCCATTTGATAGCCAAGATAATAGCTTGAGCACATGAGGGACATCCAGGTATAGTTTGGACCAAAAATCGAGTGAGACTCTATTTCTGGTGGCCACGAATGGCGTCTAGCATTGAGACATTTGTGGTCAATTGCAATGCTTGCCGATTAGCGGACAAAAGTTCTTTGCCAGTTAAAACCCGGACACAGCCAATTGCTTACCCGATGAAACCATGGACCAAAATCGCCATTGATATTATGGGCCCTTTCGCTACTGCTCCTACGAATAAGCGAAATCTACTTGTTGCTACATGTTTATACAGTAGATGGCCTGAAGTACACATGTGCGAGCAAGTTACTACTTCGGTTGTGTTACGTTGGCTTAAACACTTGTTCAGCCGTTTCGGTTTACCGTATGAAATAGTAACGGATAACGGGCCACAATTTTGTAGCCGCGAATTCGCAGATTTTCTACATTTCCATTACATTAAGCACTCCAGAACTGCGCCCTACAATCCGGCAGCCAACGGCATAGTCGAGCGTTTAAACCGGTCTCTAGAAGAAGCTATACAAGCCATACACATAGGAGGATCGGACTGGGAGAATGCAGTTTTAACCGCGGTATTTTCCTACAGAACATGTGACCACAGAGCCACCGGAAGAACGCCAGCGGAGCTGATGCTAGGAAGGCCCTTACGCACAAAGTTACATGCTGCGCATAACTTTTGTTAGCGATAGAGGCCGATGTTTCAAATCGCACAGCATCTTACCAAAATTCCTACGCTAAAGCATCGATACCAATGCAGCCCGGCACATACGTTCGCGTCAAAAGCAGGATGATAAAGAAAGGCACACCCTCGCTTTCCGCTCCAGTGCGCATCGACTGTACGCTTGACCCGGGCACCTATCGATTGGAGAACGGCCCAATTATCAACGCGCGTCGACTCCACATAGCTCACGTACCAGCTAATCAGCCCGACCGATCCGCGCGCGCAGACCCGGCTGATTTACCATTACCACGAAGTCAGCTGCGTCGGTCCGCAAGAACGGTGAAACTTATTAATCGCAACGCACCAAGTTGAAGAGACGGTTCGGAGGGGGGAACGATAATGTGGTAACCTTGTCAACAAGATCGATTGGTTCAATCTCATTGGTTGGCTTGTTGACTCATTCCTACCTTGCCATTGGTCGGGTGTCTGTCGTTTGACTCTCCGTTTAACAAGGGATTGAGACTCACTTGTACTTGGCTAATTTTACGAGATACATTTAAACCTGTTCTGTGACTTTCTTTATGCAGCACCCGGCAGCTTCTCGTTTTCCGGGAATCGATTCACGTACCAACGAGCTTGGCGTTCACATTGCTCACTGCCTATTCCGGACTAATATATCTCGGTAACAGGAGCAGGCGCAGTCTGTAGCCTCAGGTGTCCGAGCAAAACTGTGAGTGCCTTGAGAAAACGCTCGCAGGATATAGGCTGGACTTGCGCTTCGGTGGAAGTTTGTGACTTATCCCCTTCGCCGGAGGAAGGACGTCTGCTTCCAGTATATATAATAGAGCTGAAAGACAAGGAAAATTAGCGGAGCAACCGAAGAGATCCTCGCAGGGTCGCCCATTATGTAATATACACAAAGCGCAATAATCCGGACTCTTCGGTATGCGAAAGGTCGTAATAGACAAGCAGAGTTGGAAAGAGAAACAAAGGACAACGTAGACGGCTGGAGAACGTTATCACAACCACTTAGTAAGAACGACACGGTAAGTGGGCGGAAGTGCATTTTAACACCCGAGGGCAACACAAGGAGCACAATGAGGTATAAGCGAGCAAGCAAGGAGCAAATCGGCGTGCCGACGTCAACGGGGAGTGGGAAGCACAATACAAACAAGGTTACCTGCCCGGTGGATTCTCTCACTTACTTCCTTGGGTTGCTTCCTCTACATAATCTACTGCAGCGTATCATCCTGTAATTTTGATAACCGGCATGGGTAACTCGCTCGCGATACAGGCGTATATGGATAGGCATAAAAATATGCTACAACAACATTGTTAAGCTGATAATTGTGGACTGTCCTTAGGAGGACGCTTGCTAGACGAAAACCTATTACGTCCTGTAACACTGCCTCTGAACCATTATCTAAGCCAGGAATAAACCGGATCACCAAGCTGGCACCATTTTGAGTTTGTTCGCCTAGCGAAATGGATGTTCGAGTAAGTAAATGTAATTTAACACAACATTGCACGTTTAAATATATATATTTTATATATATTGGGTTCCCTTGTAATTCTGCTGACAATAGCGTCCTATACACATGGAAGATGCAGAGAGACTTCAAACGACACTCGATCTGCTCCACGATGGGTTACTAAAGTGGCAGTTGCCTATTAACCGTGACAAATGCTCTGTTCTTCCAATGAGCCTTTTGGGGCTTACCATATCGTGGGTCGTTTGCTCCGAAATGTCAAGCAAGAGAGGGATCTCGTGGTGCTTGTGTCGTCTGATCTCAAATCAATCGAGTGCACATGGAAGCGGGTCGCATCCGCCTACAGAATATTCACGCCACACGGAGAGCCTTTCATTCCTGACCCAGCACACTTCAGACTACTGTTCTCTTCGCATGTGCTCCCAGTTCTCGATTACGGATTGCCTGCTGCGTATCCGCTCAGAGAGTCCGAACGCGACATAATCGAGAAGGTTCAACGGCGTGGATCCAAATCCGTCCCAGATTTGCGGGTCTTATCTTACCCCATACGGCTTCAACGGTTGAACCTGTTCCCAGTGGAGTATCGTCGTGGCCGCGGAGATATGATATTCACTCGGCATATTCTACGAGGTGAGCTGGGGAGTGGGCTGCAATCGTTCTTTCGTCTCAACCCAAAGTGTGCAACTCGAGGCCACTGCTCGAAAATTTCCAAACCGCGGCGACTCCGCGTGCTGTCCGATTTGTCCCTATCCACCCGGGTAGTGCATGACTCGAACAGCTTGCCGGAGGCTGTCGTCGATGTGGAGACAGAGGAATGTTTCAGACGACTTTTGGATTCCCACTCTCTGAGTGCACATGAATCCTGCTGCCCACAATACCACCATAGCGGTCTTCTGCGGAACCTTGTTCCGCAAAGATCCCAGCTATCTGCAACTTTCGGGAAATGACGGAGCTGACAAAGGAACTTCCATCTGCTCTCTACCAACCAATGAACCAATGAACAAATAGCTAAATTCTGGTGAAAAATTATACCGTACTAAACTTGCGCCTAGTTGCGGAATTTGATAAATATTCTTAATATTGTTATAGTTTGTTTTATATTGTTAATATATATTATGTATATGTTATATGTTATATTGTTATATGTTATATGTTGTTATATGTTATATTGTTATTTTCTATGTCCTAAGTGACGCCATTACTTCATCGTTTTATTAGTTAAGGTATTTTCTTTTAATGCTTCATTACCAAGGCAATGTTTCCACGGTCTCAGGAGTCGAGGCTTTAGTTACGGACCGCAACACATCGTTCTTCCCTGCTCCAGGTGAAGTCCTCATGTTATACTTTGTAGTTTATAATTTTGCTGCAACATTATGATTATTAACGCTCTTTTTATTTTCAGATGAATGGCGAAATTGATGTTCTTCCCCAAACGGCCCTTCGGAAAATAAAATCTGGCTCCGGCTCCCTGAGTTCTGGTCACACGGGCTCAAGCATCCAACTTCCAACGACGAATTCAAATGTTTACTCAAGCTTATTAGACTGCCATGAATTCAGGAACTCTTCCAGCGGTATCCTATCCATCGGAAGTGACCCTTCCTTCGATGATAATTATGACGATACGCCCGACGACACCGGGGACTCCCACCTTTCTTCAGTCCTTTTTTCTAGCCGCGCAGCTTCTTCTGACTCTAGTTTGCTTTCTCCTACACTAACTGCAGCGGTTGACAGTAGCAATTTGGACACATATAAAATGACTGAATCAGGCTTGTCGCCTGGCGCGTCAGTCTTCGATAGCCTCATGGGCAACCAGTCTTTACCCATTCCAAAGCCATCCACCTGCTATCAGCCGGAAGTCGCTGAGGAGAAACTTGCTTGTCACCCGAACCGGTTAGACGATTTAAAGAACGGGGTGGTTTCATCAGATAACAATGCTTGCTGCGGTGACCCCGCTTTTCTTCAAACTTCCAGGACCGGGGATACCTGCGACGACTCGGTGCCTAAATTTTTGTTCTCTGTCAACAATCTCGAAGACTTCCAACTAGCTCCACTACAACATGAGTCACAGCATCAAAAGCTAGATCCAGGTACTTATTCTTTTCAGAATGGCTCATACAAGTCGAATCAGAGATCGTTACAGGCTGGTGACATCAGTTTCAACGTCTCAGAAAGAGAGCCTTTTGTTCCTCCTGTGACAGCGTGGATGAAGTCTGCAGATTCGACCCAACAATCTGGAGACTTGACTTCTTTCACTTTTCCTAGTGATAACTTACCTCAGCTTTTAGCCAACCCTCTGACCGACCATCCTGCCAGCACCTTTGACAACGTATTGAGTTCCTTGCCCTGCAGTTCGGTTGCATCAGCTGCCGCCAGACGTGCGATAACCGGTGGACACAATAGCACTCGGTTTAGTCCTGCTTCTCGCCAAACGGTCTGGAACAATACTACTAGCGGACCCGGATCGGCTCTGGGATCAGTGACAGGCAACTGGAATAGTGCTGGTAGTTACGCGGCGAAGGCTAGTTCAAACGTTTCGGGTGTATCTAGCTTGATTTCCAGCCCTTCCAACAATTCGGCACTGTGGAATCAAATGCTGAATAACCCACTCGGCCAAGCAAAGTCAAGCAGCATCACTAGCATGCTTGGCAACTTGAGCCTTGGGAACGGAAGCGTTACTGAGAATTCTAGTAACCGATCACATTCGAATTGCACCGGCACGCCACTTAATTCCGGTTTTCATCCTACCAACATCAATAAAAACGCATTTGGTGCTGGTCTTTCCAATGTTTATAGCATGTTCCCTAAGCGTCCACAACACCGTATGATGGCTCATTGGCAACAACAACAGCACCATCATAACCCCGGTACCCACCAGAACCAGACTTCGAAAAATTCAGGCACTCTTCAAGCTGAGACTTTGCAATTGGTAAATGGTAATCGTATCCCACATGAGGGTCTAGAGATGATCTCAGGCACCGGAGCTGCGGGTGACGTAAGCAGCGTCCTTAGCTACAATAACAACTGTTCACTTCTTCACTCATTGCCTACGATCGCCCCGTCATCCACCATTAATTCTTTGTCTAGTATACCTGCTGATTCGTTTTCTTCGATTGTGCCCCCAACGAATTCCAGTAATGATAGTGCCTCCCTGGACACTTTCAAGTTTGGTCTCGATCAGCATCTTATGGAAGTCATCAAGTCACTGGAATCCAACGGTTTGAGCAACAATGGATCCATGGGATCAAACACGAATAATAATAATGATGGAACCAACATTGGAACACTGGATGAAGTTGTAATCCCGTCATTCAATGAAGTCGACCAGCAGTTCCCAAGCCTTGCCGGAGTGAATCAACTACCTGTCGTAGGAGCGAATGCAATCACAAGCGGTGTGCCTGGCCTGGGAGGAATGGGGTGTACAGCTTTCAGAAATGTTTCGGGCCCTTCCTTGTTTGGGTCTGTTGGTATGCCACATGTGTACTCCATGTTTCCAAGTATCCCTTCTCGTGAGGAAGGCTATTCACGCAAGGTTTTTGTTGGCGGTTTGCCACCGGACATCGATGAGGGTAAGTTTTGTGGCTAACTTACGGAAGTCTGATGATTAAACCGTCTTCAACCCTCTACACTAGCTACAGTCCCAGTAGTTGGCGCAAACAGTGTACTGATTTTTACTTTTAATTATTTAGACATCTATTGCTACTGCGCACTTTTCCTTCGTCCTTCTGTAGCGCAGCTCGCAATCTGATGCTGCATTTTTAAAATATTAGATATCGTTTTATAGCTGCCATTATATTTGATGGAGCGCCTCTTTGTATGTCTGCTTTTCTATCGTCCACGTAGCTTGATTGGCACGTTCTCTTGTTTCCGCAACTGCTTTTCCACGTGTTTATCACTTGGTACTTGTCCAGTTCTCACCATCCCCGTATCCACATAACTTAGTAATATGTTGTCTGTGATACCTCGTGGAGTTTTTTAATCATGAGCCAACTTTCTCAGAACCCTTATGAACTCATGATTTTTTATATATTGTAGTCGTAGTATTAGCTTGTTCTTTGCTTTTTGAATATTCTGTCATCTCTTTTGTAACCATTGTTACGTCATTCACCTTCGTAACTTGCACTAATCATCTCTGATGAATACAATAGCACCGATTGGGTCCAAGTTGTTTTTAATAATGGTTCCTTGGTTCCCTTCCTTTCACCCCTGTTGTTGACCGTCTTCCTTCCCTACCGTGTTCTACCAAGCTGCGCCATGTACGCTGTAGCATTCTAGCTTAGGTGCACACCCATACCTACTGTGTGGTGCGGTATGAGACAGGCATCGTAGTCTGTGCCGACCATCTCAACTCTGATCGGTTTTTCACTTCACCACTTGTTCGAAGTTCACGTTTGCAGGTATATAGTATCTGATATTGCCAAGCCCATTATGAGTCATTCTGAATGTGCAGAAACTGATGCGGCTTAGCGAGGGTGCATTCGGTGATTTTATGAATCCTAGCTTGTTAATACTACACCATTAGTACCCACAGCGTTCATTATTTTGGCATGCTCACCTGTGTAAGCAACAAAGTTGTTACTCACACCCGACTGGTCTTAGTTTCCCTTAGTTTAACTGCCACTTACATCACTTTGTGAACTTCCAAATCGGTCACTTTCTCTTGAAGCACAGCCTTATTTTGTACACTTGTTCAGTTAGTTCCTATAATCTTCCATTTGTAATACATCTCATATACCTGTACGGTTTTTAACTGTCGAGCTATCAACTGACAGATCATAATGCCTTACTCATCAAACTTGGCATGAAATATCCCCGCTTATCATACCAGCAGTCACGTAGCTATTCTATTTGCTTATACCTCACTTTTTCTCCACAATCTGGCACTGCTTGCGACTAATTCCCACTATTATCGATCATCTGTACTGATTTGTTTTTGTTAGAAAGCGTGCTTTTGTTTGGCATTCAAACTTTTGTACACTAGCCACTGGATTTCCAACATATGGACTACTAACCGTAGTGCTTTTCCCCCGCCGCTTGTTACTGACTGCTTACCTTAGGGATTGTCTATCCAAACTGTTGCTCCGATGCAGCCACAAAGCGGTATCTGGCTTGTACATAGCTCTGCCCCCTCTTTGTATATCGGTCTAAACTTGCGCGTCAGTCATTGATCTAGATGTTAAAGGCTGAGTTGTTTCCTCACTTTTCTTGCTACTCGAATTTTGACCGCAGCTTTTCAATTCGAACTCTATCAGAGCTAGAACTAATCGTGTCAGTCGATTTCTGGAGCGAATGGGACCGGGCATCGATCTGCTACTTAACTCCGTCTCCAGAGTTATCAACTGGGAATCCCACTCTTGACCCTGCTCAGTTTATTAAATGATTATAGCTTTAAAATTGCTTTCTGGCGAATGAAGTCGTCTTCACATGAGTTTGGTCCAGCACGCAACTGCATTTATGCCTTACATGGACTGACAATGACTGTACTACTGTGTTTCACATTTACCCCGAATCTATATCCACAAAGGCCCACAATATGGCTTTGAGTTTACTGTGTCGAAGACTTTTATACATGTTATTTTGGCGTTGAAATCAGTAAACAAATTTCTAAACTTCAAAGCCACCTTTACTACCGTTTGCTCTCCTTGAGTGTGGTCAAGGCACGGGTTGCTCACTTTCTCCATTCGTTCTCTGATCCACACATACTGATCGTAAGTGATCAGCGGTCTTTTCGCAACTTAGTGTATTTCCGTTCAGGACATTGGTGACGTTTAGGTGCACCGGCAGGCTACTTAGACACCAGATTCTTTGTCAGTCGAAGTTTACTGACGGGGCCGTATGACAGACTTCGCACACTTTTTGTCCATCTCTCTGGGGCCTTTACTTATAGGCGTTCATTATGTGAAAGTCGCCTGCGAATCCCACTGTGAAGCCTCTGCTGTATGGTAGACTCAATCCCAACCAGCGTGAATCAGTGACCGGAAGGCCACCAAACCTGAATTCTGAGAAAATTTTCCTTTTTTTGGTCAAATGATCTAAGGTTCGACTAGCTTGCAACTTTCAGACTACGTCAATGTTCGAGTAGGTCGCTTGTGGGAGTCACTATATATAACGATATCTTTACCTTCCTTTGAGTTCCATGGGTTTTGATGGTTCCATGCCTATTCGTATATATATATATATATATATATATATATATATATATATATATATATATATATATATATATATATATACAGTGGATTCCGGTTATTAGGACCACCGGTTAATAGGACCAGCCGCTTATTCGGGCCAAATTCTGAAGAACCGAAACGAATCCTATTACGCTGGCCTAATTTTAGCCGCTTATTAGGACCGGAATTCCGCTTAATCGGACCAGACGATAGAAGGTGGCAGGTAACAGAGGTGTTAAAATCAAGTTCTGTGCCTGGATGTCTGGACTAAACCCACAGTTCATATGTCGGGCATGAAAGCGTATCATTCAGTTACGGTAATCCGAGTTTGCCTTTGGATAAACTGAACTGTGGCAACCTTGAGGCACATCTATCAAATTCGCTTCAGAACCGCCCGAAACTGACTGTACTTTCCAACACTTGTAGGCGGAGCGAAGACATACATGCTTGTTCACATGTCGTTAACCACTCGACCGATGTACCGCAAGTCCATTGAGCCGAATGCCCTGAGCCCGCATTGCGGGCCTACTTTCGAGCACGGCAAGTGATCGCGGACACACTGGTCCGGCAAATCATAGGACAGCAGGTGGCTAGGTCAACCATAGAAATACCCGGGAGACAGACTCGAATTCACCTCAGTGAACTGTGTGTCTTGTTGCCTGTTAAGAAAATGCCACGACGGGACTTGACGTTAGCTGAGCAGATTCGTTCCCTAGATCAGATCAAGGAACAGGGACCAACCACTAGTCAGCGTCGATTGTTGGAAATTACTTGCTTGGCAAAATCTACAATATCGCGCCTGATAAAACAAGAGAAAGATCTGCGAGAAGAATGGGCACAATGTGAAGGACGACGAGGTACTTCCCAAAAACGGAAGCGTGAAGGCAAGGATCCAGACGTCGATGATTGGTTTGCTTTTGTTACTGGACGAGCCGTGCGAGTAAGTGGCCCAATGTTAAAGTACAAAGCAGAACTCGCTAAAATGCTGGGCCACGAAGATTTTATAGCTACGGACGGCTGGTTGTCTCGATGCAAATCTAGACATGATGTAAAAGTTAAGAAAGCACATGGTAAGAAAGAAAGTGCCAATATCGCTCGAGCTGAAGAATGGAAATCAACAAAACTACCAGAGCTTCTTGAAAAATTTCCAGCAGATGACATCTATAATGCTGATGAAACCGGGTTGTACTATAGAGCTACACCGGACGGCTCCTTAAGTTACAAACATGTTACTCTCTCTGGCTGCAAAAAAGCAATGGATCGCGTAACTGTCTTGTGCTGCTCAAACATGTCCGGAACTGACAAGAGGAAGTTGCTTGTTTTAGGAAAATGTGCCAAGCCTCGCTGCTTTAAGGGACTCAGAATGGACAGTTTACCAGTTGTGTATCGTGTGAACAGCAATGCATGGATGAGCTCTACACGTTTTAAAGAATGGGTGAAGAATTGTGACACAGAGCTACAACGCCAGTCGAGAAAAGTATTATTCGTAGAGGGTAGAAGTATTATTACTTCTCGACAATTGTGCAGCGCATTCAAATTTGGATTTCTTGAAGAATATTCAGATGGAATTTCTGCCTCCCAAGACCACATCTTTGATACAGGCAATGGACATGGGCATCATAACATATTTGAAGACTTTATCGTTCAAGGTTGGTGAATTACATCCTTGAATCAATTGAGGAAGGCTTGCTGACCTCATCCTCGACGGCCGGAGAAATCAGTGCAAAGGTCAACATTTCGCAAGCCGTTACATTCGTGGCCGAAAGTTGGCGAAAAATGAGCAGTGCGACAATTCGGAACTGTTTTTCTCACTGTGGCTTTAAGCATATTGTCTCGGAGATGGATGTGGATATGGTGATTGTAAATGAAAATGACGGCGAGAGTGTGGAGCTGAAACAAGTTGAAAAGTACGAAGAATTTTTGTCAAACGACAACGAACTTCAACTCTATGATGGAAATGAAGAATGCGATGCTGCCATTTTTGCTCGAATAGCAGCGAAACACACGACAGCAGCAGAAGACCATGGAATTGATGAAGAGAACCCTAACGTGTTGATGCCAGTCACAAAACAGGATGCAAGGGAATGCATTGAAACATTGCACCGCTATTTCATGCAGGAAGGAAATGAAGGTAGTCCTATTACTGCGTTACATGTTTGTGGTGATTTTGTGCGAATGCCGTCTGTTAAAAGAATGCGTCAAACCATACTGGATACGGTCTTCAAACGCTGAATGGAATTCGGTAATCCCTTTGTATAAAACTGTACTTCGCATGCTGAATATCTTGTAGGTCGTTACGAAGAATTTGTTTGTAAATTTCGTTTTCAGTAAAAAAAGTTCATTATCAAAGCAGTTCTTTTTTGTGTGTTTGCTATAAATATATGCCGCCAATACAGGTC